GAAACCAATTTGACAATAAATTTCATATTAAAAAAAGAAAAAAAGGAACCAACAGAGAAGAATTTAATCAAACATTCTACCTGCAATTTCTCCTCAAGGTATTTACTAATTCCTAAATTGTGCATATGCACAGTGTGATGCTGAGAAACCAAATATAAATCAGAATCTAAAATAATATGTAGAGATTTCAGCTATTTCTGGCATATGTGGGGCCATCAAGGAGAGGGGTTCCTAGTACAAACCTCAGGCTGTCAGTGGAAACACTTCAAATGGTTATGCCCTGAGGAAAAGCAAAGTTTTACAAAAAGAAATACACCAGTTTGGGCCAAATAAAGGCAATCTCCTTAACTTGACTACTAAAACAAAATTAGAATCCTCTCTGGAAGGAAATAACATCATCTAAGTCTCCATTATTTTTTTTTAATTTTTTTTTAACGTTTATTTATTTTTGAGACAGAGAGAGACAGAGCATGAACGGGGGAGGGGCAGAGAGAGAGGGAGACACAGAATCGGAAACAGGCTCCAGGCTCTGAGCTGTCAGCACAGAGCCCGACGCGGGGCTTGAACTCACAGACTGTGAGATCATGACCTGAGCTGAAGTCGGACGCTCAACCGACTGAGCCACCCAGGCGCCCCTCCATTATTTTTAATATACTCTACTGGCATTCAATAAAAAATTAACATACAATAAATGAAACAAGCAAATCAACTTAAACCAAGACATAAAATGAAAAAGAAATTTTTTAAAAAGTTACACAAGTGATCAAGATACTGTGATTATCAAAGACTAAAATAATTACAGCTAATATGTATAAGAAAATAGATAAAAAGATGGCAAATTTGATAAATACTTGAAATACTTTAAAAATCATTTGCAAATACTGCAAGTAAGAATTATTGATCCAGAAAAGAGGCCAATAATAAAAGAGAATGAGGGGCACCTAGGTGGCTCAGTCACTTAAGCATCTGACTCTTGATTTTTGGTTCAGGTCATGATCTCATGGTTCATGGAGTCAAGCACCACAGTGAGCTCTGCACTGACAGCACAGAGCCTTCTTGGGATTCTCTCTCTCCCTCTCTCTCTGCTCCTCCACCATTCACACTATCTCCCCCACTCTCTCTCAAAAATAAAATAAACATTAATTTAAAAAAAAAGACTTAGGGAAAACGTCAAACATATGTGCAATGGAGTCTCAAAGAAATTGACATAGAAAAAATATTTGAAGAAATATTCACCAAGAATTTTCCAAAAGCAATCAAAGATTCCAACAAATAGATTCAAGAAGCCCTATGAACTCTCCCAAATACCAAAAACAAAACAAAAAGTCTGGGGACCTTACATAAAACTGCAGAAACCCAAAGACAAAAAAAAAAAACCCTGCAGAGATAAAAGATAGTTTATTTCTAGAACAGCAACATTGTTGTTGAAAAGTGATTTTCAACAGAAATAATAGAATATAGAATAAAATGGAGTGAGGTTAATAAAATTTGGAAAGGAAACAGCAACTATCCTGGGTTTAAATGTTAACTGAAAATATCATTCAAATGAAGGCAACATAAAAATATTTTTCATGTAAAAACAGAAATAATTTTTTGCCCTGAAATTTACACCAAAAGAAACACTGTAAGGAATATTTTTTCTAAATGGGGACACAGTACTGAAGAAAGTAAAGAATAACAAATGGGATAATTTCATGGTAAAAACTAATTGCTTTTAAACACTTTGGGGGCGCCTGGGTGCCGCAGTCGGTTAAGCGACCGACTTCAGCCAGGTCACGATCTTGTGGTCCGTGAGTTCGAGCCCCGCGTTGGGCTCTGGGCTGATGGCTCAGAGCCTGGAGCCTGTTTCCGATTCTGTGTCTCCCTCTCTCTCTGCCCCTCCCCCGTTCATGCTCTGTCTCTCTCTCTCCCAAAAATAAATAAACGTTGAAAAAAAATTGTTTAAAAAAAAAACACTTTGATAATAAGAGTGAATTTTGGTATTTCAAAATATAAAATAAAAATACATGGATATTTGGGGCACTTGGGTGACTCAGTCAGTTAAGTGTCTGACTCTTGATTTCGGCTCAGGTCATGATCTCGTGGTTCATGAGATACAGCCCTGCATTGGTTTTTCACTGACAGCATGGAGCCTGCTTGAGATTCTATCTCTCCCTCTTTCTCTGCCCCTCCCCTGTTCACACACTGGCTCTCACTTGTGCGTTCTCATTCTCTCTCTCTCTCTCTCTCTCTCAAAATAAATAAACACTTTTAAAAGTTTTAAAAAAAGAAATGACAAAAAAGGGAAAAAAAACCTCAGATCTTAAATACAAAAAATACCGCAAATGTTATTATGAAACAACTTAACACTAGTAAATTTGAAAATTTATATTCCTTAAGAGGTTCAGCCTACTAAACCTGATTACTAAATTCATTGAACCGGCACACCTGGATGGCTCACACTCTGTTGAGCTGGTTTAGCGTCTGACTCTTGATATGGGCTCAGTTCATGATCTGTGGGATCAAGCTCTGAGTTGGGCTATGTGCTGATAGCGTGGAGATTGCTTTGGATTCTCTCTCTCTTTCTCCCTCTCTGTCTGCCCCTCCCCCACTTGTGCTTGCACGCTCTCTCTCTCAAAATAAAATGATAAATAAACATTAAAAAATAAAATACAGTAATTGAACTGTTAAAATTTTTTCCCAAATCAAACTCTAGACCAGCATGACTTCCCAAATAATTTTCCTGAATATTTAAGGAAAAGATATCATCCATTTTAGATAAACTCAGAGATGAAAAGGGAGGTAAACCATAACTCATTTGTAGATGCTATCATGATCTCAGTTCTGCAACTAAAAGAGACATTAAATAAGTAAAATAAATGGCTAATGTCTTTCATGAACATAGATACAAAATTCCAACACAAAATATTATCAAATTGAATCTAGTGATATTTTGTAGTTACCATATCACAACCAACTGGTATTTGTTACAGAACTGCAAAGTTTTAAAAATCAGACAAAGCTACTTATAGAACAAACAGTAAGTAGAATAAAGGGCAAAACACAATCAATATGATTGTTTCAGTGGTTGCACAGAAATTATTCAAAACATTGAGGAAAAAAAGAATTCTAGCAAATAAGAGAAACTAACAAGCATCTTAAAAAAGAATCCTACAGCAATCATACCTAATAGTGAAGTATGAATTGCTCTCCCTGATACCAGGAACAATCCAAGACTATTCAAAATGTACTCTAGTCCTACCCAATTCAACATGGCATGAAAAAAAGCATAATTTTGGAAATAAAGTAAAATATTCTTTGTTTGCAAAGTAGACACTATTTGCAATGCAGTAATTATTTGTAATGGTCAACTATCTTTATAGAAAATCTCGAAGAATATAACAATAAATGATTAAAATTGATACAGAAATTTTACAAGGCTTCTGAAGACAAAAAATGTGCAATTTAGCCATTTTTATATATATTGCTAATGTAAAATTAGAAAATAAATTTTTAAAAATGTATTTACACTTACAACACAAAATCCAAATGTATAGAATTAAATCTAGTAAAATATATTCAACATTTCTTCACAGGAAACTATATATACATATATATACATATATACACATATGTATATATATATATACATATATATGTATATATAGAGAGGGAGAGAGAGAGGGATGATGCTTATGAACTTGGTACGGTAAAAATTCAATATGGTAAAGATTTCAATTTCTCTATATTGAGCATAGATTTAATGCAATCCCAATGAAAATGTTGGCTGATCTATATTTTTTGTTTGTTTTAAAAAAGTCATGGGGGGCACTTAGAAGTTAATTATTATAAAACTTACACTTAAATACAAATGACTGAGAAAAACAAAGTAAGATTACCTGCACTATTACTGGCTTAGAATTCATTAATTAAAACAGTGCTGCACGGGCACAAAACTAGATCCCTACCTACCTTTCAAATAATCTCTTTTAGGAAATATCTCTCAGCTTTTCAGGCAGTTTTATCAAAACTTTGCTGTTGTACTCTTTATTGTAGCAGTTGTAAAATAATTATATCAAAAATATTTATGTCTTTCTTCCCACATCAGACTGTGAATTCTTAACACTGCCAATTTAACTAATAAATTATCAAACTTAACAGTCTCTGACATACATCAGACACTCAAGAATATGAGTTATATGATTAAAATGACATCAGTAAATAAGATTTTCATAGTCATCAAAATCCCAAACAGATAATTCAAACTTACCTCCTATATCTGGGCGAAGTTTATTGTCATAGCCTTGAAGCAATGAGTTGAGAATTTGTGTTATATCTCCTTCATGAATCTTTGGTGCCAAGACCCAAGTTTTGTTCACTGTTAAATCCTCATCATCTTCGTCATCCACTTTATCAACACTAAATAATTCAAAAATGATAGAAATTTCAACAAATTGTGTACTTAAAAACACAGTTTAAGATAATCATAATTCTTATTTCTTTATTAGGAAGTAGTAAGAGGAGAAAAAAAGCATTAAAAATATTTTACATTCAGTAAGACTGATACTTTCTTCATATGAATCATGCTGATATAATAATACTCAAAAATTAAGAATTCAGTACAAGAAGTGTAGCACATAATTTTTACATAATAAGTTAAATCTTGACCACATCCACAGTGTCATTTAAGGTCATAGAGATTATGCACTGGAAATGTGAATGATGGTCTTAGATTTGTGCGGTATAGAATCTGTACAACTGTTTATGGTGACTCAGCCACAACACATCCCCCCCAAAAATTAAAAGGTAAATAAATACAGGAAAAGTTGTAATAATTGCTGTAGTGAGATATTTAAAAATGCATGTGTAGAAAAGAAGAATAAAGGAAAAAGTATTCAATACATCTATGCCTCTTCTTTCAATTCAGAAGAACCTAGATATCATATTCTAAGAACTTTTTCAGAGATTGTCTTGTCATCAAATCTTGAATGGGTGACTCACCTGACATATATGAAGGGGGACACGACTATCAAGTTTTATGAACAGAAGTGAAACTTTAGAAACCAAATAACACCATTGCTTTCATTTTGTAAATGAGAAAACTGAAGACAGTAGGGAACTAGCCAATGCACAAACTCACTTTTATTAGGAAAACTGAAAAACAAGTCCTAACTAACTCTTCAGTTAATGCTTCCTACTACACCCCTGTGTTTAACAAGCTAAGGATGCAGCTTAATCCTGCGTTGTGGTAGAAAATGCAGCAATGTAGATATTCATCTACAATTCATCAGAAGTAACAAACTACTCTTCATTATTCATAAAGAATGCCATCCTCAAATGAGTATGATCATCCTAGACTTAACACCTACTCCAGTAAATCTCAGCCCTCCAGTGAAAAAGGGTCAAAAGGATAAACTCTTACACTGGTGAAATTAGGTAAATCCAAAATATATCAGTTATTTCCAAATATTTCAGAGATAGGCTTCCCTCTAGCAGTAAACATGCAAATTTATCTCAGTATCTTTAGTTTATTTTTCCACACTATCCATTTAGATTTCTTTTGCTTTGGACCTAAAACATCTTTGCTAATGCAGCCTTCCCCCTCTTCATCTTTTAAAAACTTTTTCCAGTTTTATTGAGATATAGCCAATGTATATTATAGTACAAATTTAAGGTGTACAACATAATTATATGTATATTTAAAGATAAATAAGCTTAATTAACATCCACCCTTTTTATTCTTAATGAGTACAGATTAACATTGTAAATGAAAACTTCATCTTTAAAGTATGGACTAGTCATTTCTTCTCCATTGTAATTCTATTGATGGTTATTATCAACAGATAATGGAGAGGACTATTATTCTCAGTATTTCTTCTCTCCTTCTTGTCAGAAAATTATACTTCTCACTCCACTGACTTCTAATTTGGTCATGTGACTTGAAATGCTCCTTCCTTGCTGGAGGATTGTACTTCCCTGTTCTACTGAATTCAGGGGTGGCCCTGTGGTTTGCTTTAGCTAATGGAATATATGTGGCCTGCATCACTATCGAGCAGATTTGATGTCAGAGCACAGTTCATCATATCTCTCTTGTCTTTCTGCCAAATGACCAGAAACATGTAGAAGCTACTCCATTACTTCACTCCCAGAGTGAAGGCAACACGGACAGAGCCACAGCTGATCTACAAGGGACATGCATCCTCAGTGAGAAACATTGAGTGTTGTAAGCCACTGCGATTTGGGCGTACTTTATTACCACTGTATACAACTTAAATTCCTACGTAAACTCAATGGTACATTTAGTTAACAGGTTTTCAAGGAAGCACTCATTTATATTATTTGTATTGCTGTATTTAACTTCAAAAAGTATACACTACTGAAATCTAGCTATATGATCATCTTTAAAATAATTTATTTTCTCTCAATGAAATATACACACACCTACATTCATTCATAAACGAAATCACTAAAAATAGTGAAGTATTAAGAGTCCCTGCTGGTGTGTCCTCCAGGAACATTATCTTATCCAATTAGAATTGCTAAGATATTGGCAACAACCCAAATTCTAGAGCATCCATTTAGCTTAAACTCCCAGTTTATGGAGTGAAACATCTGGTGGTTTGAAGCAGGCCACTGAACATAGAAGCAGTCGATCTTTCTTTGAAATATGACTGTAGTCAAATGGAAGTTTCCATGAAAAAAAAATAAAAGCCTTTTCTATTTTTTAACAGTAGCAATGTCCTGATAATCCCAAAGTACAAGTTCATAGTGATTTATAGTCCTCTTTTCCCAGCTGGCTTGAAGGTAATATGAGACTCTCAGTGCTATCACAAAACTAACTGTCCTCATTTTTGGCACTAATAGAAAGAAAATTTCATGATGGTTAATTTTTCTGTATCTTCCCTCCAAGCTTTCTAAATTACCTTCAGAATATTCATTAAGTATGTGAAGACCTTATTGGTATTATTTTGGTGATTAAAAAGTACTTGTCATAATTTTAAAAATAATTCACATAGTTGATCTGATGTCTCGATATCTTTCACAGGCTGGGGGATATTTGTAATGTTTACATATGTTGAGTGACTATTCACATAGGGGAAAGAAGTATGATTTTCTTAGGTAACACTGAGAATTTCTTGACTCATGCTCAAGCACTTCTTTTAAATAATTTAACTAAGTATAATTTTATAGTTAGTGGAAATACATTTAGACCACTGAGTATAAAATTTTAATAATTGTTATCTTAATGATTGACATTTTTATTGTTACTATCAACTACTGAATACCTATAGTGCATCATTAAGTTCTTACCATGTTTTGGTAATTCTGTGCTAGGTTCTTTCCACATTTTATGTCATTTAATCCAGAGTAATCCCACGAAATAAATATTAATGTTTCTATTTTACAGATAGAAAAAATAAATTTCTAGAATTTCCAGGATATACCCTTTTAAAAAATAGAACCAGGAATATTGATTAATTTGAAGACTTGTTTTGTCTCTCTCACTTTTTTTCTTTTTTTTCTTTTTTTGGAAATTTCCATAATATCATCACATTTTATCTTCATTAAAAATTTCAGGGTGGTTGGACTGTGAGTTTTCTAATTCATAAGAACACAGCAGCTCTTACGGTAAGTAATTAGTATATTTGGATTGTGCACGAATAGGATGCTTAATCTCCATCCTTGAATTCCAAAGGGTTAGAATAATAATTTCAAAGAATCACAACCACATGCTCTGATGAAAAAGACTTTCTAACATGTGTGCTCAACTTCCAATCCAATGCTTTAACTCATTTATAGAGTAAATATCATGTACTACAAATGTGCTAAGTCCTGAAAATAAGACAAAGTTGCTTTACTGATCTAGATTATCTTATTTTTTAATAAAGGAGAAACCTATTTAAACAAATGACACAGAAAGCCATAACATATAAAGATATTTATTACAGTATTATTTATAATAGCACAAATTTTAAATACTAAGAGGACATTTAAGTAAATAATTATAGAGCCCTATGATGTAATGAATGTACCCACTTGATTGATTTGATTGATTGTACCCATTTGACTGATGTACCATACAGATTGAACAGTCTGTAAAAAATAGAACATTATTTTCATGATTTAATTATATATAACATATAACAATTTGCTTTTATCAAAGCCTATGTATAAAATGGCTGAAGATTTGGTGGGAAAGCTGCATAATGAGTATTCTAAGTATTCTACACTAGTGGAGCTATAGAAAATTAAATTTTGTTTGTATATTAATAGTATGCTATGACCTTTCTGAGGAATTTTATAATACAAATACACGAAAAGGAGTTAATTTGTCATTAATGCCTACCTAAAAAATGAACTGCCTTTTCCTATACATCAGATAGTGTTCGGAAATAAATTTCTAATCATAAACCTAAGTAATTCAACAGAGCCTTTTATAGAGAGAAGCGGGGCTTTATACTCTGCCAAGAAAACAGCAGGGGCAGCCCTGAAAATTCGCTCCTCAGGTTTCCCTCCATGGAACGTGGTTGACTGATGGCCCAGCTGCCGGCCCTCTGGCCCAGACCTGCATCTACAGGAGACCCAAGGTTCCCTGGGGCTGCTCGTAGCAATAACTGAACGTAGTAGAAATCCTAGTCGTACAGCTCCATTCCTACAGGACCAGGGACTCCTCTAAAGGGCAGCTTATGTTAGACAACTCTCACTAGCCTGCGCAAAACTTGATTAGAAGCCTGAGACTCTTTTGACACAAACTTTCTTTCTCCCCCGTGTTCACAGGTGTCAGACTGCCATTATTATCTGAAGCCTCTTTCCTTATGTCCACTTCCTCTTGCTTACCTTACATAAGCATTGCTCTCAAAAATCTCTTGGGGCCCCTGGGTGGCTCAGTCGGATGAGCATCTGATTTCAGCGCAGGTCATGGTCTCGTGGTTCATGAGTTTGAGCCTGGCGTCCGCTCTGTGATGACAGCTCAGAGCCTGGAGCCCTGCTTCTGATTCTGTATCTCCCTCTCTCTCTCTGCCCCTCCCCTGCTCATGCTCTGTCTCTCTCTGTCTCGCAAAAATAAATAAATGTAAGAAAAAAAAATTAAAAACTCTCTTACGTGTCTAATCTCAGCTTGGTATCTGCTTCTCCAAAGCTTCTGCCTCCCACATATTTTTTAACTGACACTGCTAACTATTTACTAAAGAAAAATTTTGAGTCACATACATCAGTGTTGGGTTTTCTTGTTTTTGTTTTTGTTTTACTAGGCTATTTTAATACATTATACAAATCAATCAGTTTATATACTTACTGTTTGTGAAAAACTACTCTAATGAGTTATTACTATTCTTAATAAAACAAGCAAGAGCTTTGAACTAATAATAATTAAAACAGACTAAGTAAACCAAACCCTATAATTATAAGGAGAATTACAA